AGCTTAAAGAAGATATTTAACATTATAAGATCATAAAATATGCAGTCATTATATTAGCGTTATTATGTTAAATCATTATATATTACTTTATCATATAAAATATATTATATTATATATCATATTTATTATTATATATAACCACACAGAGAGAAAAAATGGCTAATCTCGGAAAAAATTGTTATTTTCAGAGCTAAATATATTTGTTTGTTATTTTAACAAGAATATGGTAATTCAGGGTGTCCCGCCATTACCGCATTATCTCTTAAGGGCGGATTCCTGAGGTAATTTAAATAAAAAAATCCTAATGCAAAAATGTCAAAGCTATAATACTTTTCAAATTATAAACGATTAAATTTAACCAATTATATTGGCTAAAATACGTGCAGGCGTATTGGCAGGTACAGAACACACAATGATACAGGTGCATGCATATAAGTGAAAATTTGCATAAGATATGAAATTAGTTGTAAATCTCTGAAAGAAATGTCAAATGTGTGACAGCTTATTGATTCTCATAAATATATTGTGTGATATTTTATTCGTAACATTTTGACAAAATTGTTATTATTTGCGACATGTTTATTTAAATGATAAAAAAGGCAGATAATTATTACATACGTTGTTGTATGTATGGAACTTCCATACCAATATTTGGAAAAGGGGCGACATGTGCATGCACCCGAGCAAAAATATACCCAAGTAGGAATCGTATACATTTCGCCACCCTTATAGAAATATCATACTAAGAATCATTGATAATTACTTATTTTCAGTATTAAAAATACTGGATAATAAGTAATTATCAATGATTCTTAGTATGATATTTCTATAAGGGCAGTACGGAAAAATAGCCCGATACTGGACATGGAAAAGCGGATGTCCGGTTTTGGTACTGGCTCAGTACTGGGCCTAATATAAAAAAAATGTATTATTGGTACAGGCTCCGTACTAAGGTTAAGTACTGGATAGTCGTGCCGTACGTATACTGGGATATTACCGAAAAGTGTTTGTCGTTTTTAGTATTGGCCCAGTATTAAAAAAGCTGTATTATTGGTACTGGCTCTATTCGTAGAATTAGTACTGGATACCCAAGTAAGAATCGTATACAATCTAACAATAGAGGGCCAGTATTGTGCCGGTACCGAGAAACGGACGATAACAATGTCCTTTATGGGAAAACGGAAAAGATCACTAACGCGAAACCTAGATAGCTCAGTGAAAAGAACGTTTGCCTAACAAGCGAGAGACTCGAGTTCGATTCCAGCCGTCGCCCCAAAGATTTTTTCCTCATATGACTATTACAAATTTTTCCTCATGACTATTAAAAGTAGACATGTATAGGTATGAGAGCAGGCCCCGCCCATGGTCTGACCTTTCTTTACATACTATATAGGCTGCGTTCCGAAATTCGCTGCCAGTACTGAAATTCTATAATATACGTAACATAAACTATAAATTTTCAGTACTGGCAGCGAATTTCGGAACGCAGCCATAGTTGTGATATTAACAATTGTACAAATAATAAAAATTACTAGGAATCGATACTGGTCCAATACTGGGAATAGGTACTTCCTCAGTATTAGGAATTAATACTTTTCTTATACTGGTACAGTACTGATATTCGGTACTGTGACAGTACTGTTTTCCGATACTGGCCCTTTTCTATCATCCCAGTATCGCACCAATATTAAATCCGTATTGGCATTTGGTACTATCCCATATAGCACAAATCTCTAAAAGACTTCTTAAAGAATTCCAAAAGTGTTCTAGAGAACTTGGGAACCCTTTTGGAACTCTTTAAGAAATCTTTTAGAGATTTGTGCTATATGAGATGCCAGTAATACGTTTACCATAAATCAGTACTGGGCCACTTTGATGCCAGTAGTAAATTCCTATTTGGGTATTTAGTAGAGAGCAGATTTCAAGATTAGTAGCTAGATAGTAATGACTAGATAAGTTTTCTAGCCAGTCACTAGCTCGTGACTGGCTAAATATTCTTATTCAATTTTTTGAATATCAGGACTGTCTAGTAACTATACCAATTATATAGATAGTGACTAGATGGAAAAGATTACACAGTAACGAGATAGAAAATCATCGGTAAATCCTGAATAGAAATTGAATATGAGAACTGTCTAGTAACTATACCAATTATATAGATAGTGACTAGATGGAAAAGATTACACAGTAACGAGATAGAAAATCATCGGTAAATCCTGAATAGAAATTGAATATGAGAACTGTCTAGTAACTATACAATTTCATAGACAGTGGTTAGACGAATAAGATTATACAGTAACGAGATAGAAAATCATCGGTAATTCCTGAATAGAAATTGGACGTCATAACTGTCTAATAGTTACACCAATTATATAAACAGTGACTAGACGAAAAGGATTACACAGTAACGAGATAAAAAATCATCGGTACATCATGAATAAAGATTGGACGTCAGAACTGTCTAATAGCTATATAATTTACATAGACAGTGCTTAAACGACAAAGATTATACAATAACGAGATTGAAAATCATCGATAAATCCTGAATAGAAACTGGATATCAGAACTGTCTACCCACTAGATAGTAAATTTGTGTATAGATAATGATCATGTAATACACAAATTTACTATCTAGTGGATAAACAGTTTTGACATCTAATTTCCATTCTGGATTTACAGTACATTGCTACTAGACAATTACTAGACAGCGTTTGTTATTCAATTTCTATTCAGGATTTCCCGAATCTTCCATTTTGTCACTGTGTAATTTTTTTTCGTCTAGCCATTAGATAAAACGGCGTTAAGTAAACCATATGTAGCTAATATAAAATGTTCACTGTCGGCTATAGTAGTGGTCTAGCAGGTAAAGTGCCAGACCTAAATGCCAGAAATCTCAGGTTCAAGTCCCGAAGGATAAAATGAATTTTTCCAATAGAATGTAAATACTTACGTAATAAAGAAAAATTACAGGAAACCAAAACTCCATTGTATAACTTTTCCTAAAGAGACAGATAAAAATTCTAATTAAAAAAACCTATCTAGCCACTAGACATCCATGATACAGAAATTCTGAAATAAAAAACTGTCTAAAAATTATTATTAGGTACTCTCTGATATAGAGAAAAAGGGAAATTATCGAAGAAAAATAATTTTTTCGTTTTTGCAGTCTACTCACTGTCTAGTACAGGCTAGATAGTTACAAGTTTTTTTTTGTATCTAGCTACTAGCTGATTTTTCTAGTACAGCTACTGGGAGAAGTAAGCGTTACATTCCTAGCTAGTAGTTAGCAAGTACTAGCTAGTAGCGATATAGGACCCAATTTTTCTGTGTTATTACTAGACAACCACTAGATTCAATTTTGTTTGGGCACTTGTACCATTGTGTATCGTATCTGAGAGCGCGTACTTTAGCCAATATAATTGGTCAACTTTAATCGTCTATAATTTAAAAAGTATTATAACATCGACATTTTTGCATTAGAAATTTTTTATTCAAATTATCTCAGGAATCCGCCCTTAAGAGATAATACGGTAGTGGCGGGATATCCTGCACACACACACTCATACACACACACACACACACACACATGTGTGTGCGTAAGTTTATTATCATTAATACCAGTGGCTGAGGGGGCTGCAGCCCCCCCCCCCCGAAATTAATTTTCTGGGTTACGCTAAGTGTGAGAAAAATTTTTTCAAATGACCTTTTTTTTGCTCGTCAAAAATAAAAAGTGCAGCCCGTCCCGAAACTTATTTCTGGCTACGCCACTGATTAACACCACAGTAACATTTACTACAGAAATGTTGTTCTCCTGGTTATTATATTTTTATTACTATAGCAACAAATATCAAACAATTTTATTTTTAGTGTACATGTATTTATGTATGTATGTATAGTTATTACTTTATCGTCATATCTCGTATAACCTCAATGATGATCTTGAATTTCCACATTGACATTTTTTGTATTATTTTTACTTTAATATTATATTAATTTATATTATTTAAATATCGTGTTATATATATATATATATATATATATATATATATATATATATATATACAGAGTGTTCCAAATTCTCCTCCGCAATTTTTATGAGAACATAAAACGGATTAAAATAAACACAAAAGTCCCATATCGTTATGCGATATTCGCAATAAATCTCGAGATATTAATTTAAAATAATTTCATTAAAAAAATTAATTTAAAAAAATTGATAAGTGATCACACGTGCGCGATATGATAAATAAGCTGTAGTGGCAATGTGTGCTGTTATGTACTTGTACAATAGTTCAAATAGAACAAAAAAGGTTTTATTATTTTGTAAATAACCGTGTAGGGTTTTAGTTATTAAAGAAAGGAATTTGTTACATGATTGTGCACGAATGCACAAATCTTCTTTAATTAATATTTAAAAATTTATGTGGTCATTTACAAAATAATAGAGGACTCTTTTGTTTAGTTTGATCTAATGTATAAATATACAACGGCAGTCACTACAGCTCATCTGCCATATCGTGCGTGATCATTCACTAATTTTCTTTAATTAATATCTCAAAATTTATTGCGAATATCGCATAACAGTATAAGACTTTTATGTTGACTTCAATTCGTTCTACGTTCCCACAAAAATTGAGGAGAGTTTGGGACATCCTGTATGTGTGTGTGTGCTTGTATATTTCGGGAGAAAGATATATATACATATACATATATGTACATGAAACTAGAAAATAAAACACATTACCTTATATTTTTTTCGAAACCACATTTATACTATATCGAAAATGTCTGTGCTATTTCTGATAGCAATTCAGGAACGTTTTTTCATATTATTTGAAATCCAAAAAATTTTACAATTTGTTTAACATCTTCTGATAACTCGAAATGATTGGTTTGCTACTTATTTAATTCTGGGAGATTAAACATAATAGCAAAACAAAAGATTAATCGAATATAGAAACATAAAGAGAAGCGAGAAGGCGTAAAAGTAAAAGAATTACCGATGTTCTCAGCACCATCGTCTTTATCCAAATCGCTGCGTAATACTTGATGCAAAAACTCGATATACTTCGCCGCGAGTTTCAACGTTTGGATTTTGCTGAGTTTATCGCTTGGTAGCGTGGGGATTACCTTCCTCAAAGCGGCGAACGCCTCATTAAGACTCTGTGTTCGTTGGCGTTCTCTGACGTTCGCCATCACTCGCTGGTTTTGAATTTCTTCGAAGCTCGCGCCGCTTTTCCGACGTACTTTAATTTTCATCGGAGAAGTCGCCTCGCTCTCATGCTCATTATTATTAGTGATTTGGTTGATAAACTTCTTTCTTCTTTTAGTAGGTGATCTACCATTTTCCGCCGCATAGTTCTTGGTCGATGATGGCTCTGTCACATGACCGTTGAGCTCCGTCTGTTGATAGCCGTACCTCTGATCGACCACCTGCTCGTCTTCGTATTCCATCTCCTCCGACTTGTATTCTGTCATATTCGGGTGGTTGCGATAAGATCCTTGACTTTGAGATTGGTGTGGTCTGGTAGGAACAATCATGTCCTCGTTTCCAGATGTGAAAATCTGCGACGGCGGAGTCACGCATATATGCTGTTCGTGGTCCCTATTGTAGTCCGATAATAATTCGGAACCCGTGTTATTAGATATCCGTCGATTGTAGTCCGACTGAAGATCCCTCAAAATCTTGCCGTCCGGATGATCTGGAGAATGATGTGTGTGTGTGTGATGAGAATTGTGATATCTCTTGTTTTCGTCCAAATTCTCATAAACATAAGGCGGTTGCTGATAATCAATTGAATGAAGATGTTGCGGATGGGGCGCGTGCAATGATTGCTGATGATAATTTGACGACAGGTTGCGATGCTCCAGATGATTACTGAGATCTATCAGACGTGACGCTGGCGGCGTGATGCTGTCGTAGTTCGCCGGTGACGTGCTGGCGGAACTGTTGCCAGCGCTATACAATACGTTGGAGCTGTCACCGGAGTCCATGAGGTAAAAGCCATTGACACGAACTTGAGTCTGGACCTGGGTTGGTATGGGGACCTGAGGCTGCACCAGGGTCTGAACTTGAAGCACAGGCGGTGGCTGCAATGCCGACGGTATTGTTTGTATGTTTCCGTTGGGCAGCACAGGCACGTTGGCCCCTTCAGCGCATCGCGCCTCGTTCCGCGATCGCTGCACGCCGGTAACGACGAGTTTTGGTTCCAGTTTTGTGATCCGTCTTCCTGGGTTAAGAGCATCACCTACGCTACGTGGCGCGAGTTACCGCGCGACGGCTCGCACTTCAACGACGCGTACAGCGACGCGCACCGGCGGCGATTCGATTCCGTAGTTAGCTATTTTCTTTTACCTCACGGCACACAGATACGAAATGCGACGGTGAATCACGTGCCGCGACACTATCGCACAAATTATCTCAGCTCCTCTTTCCCTCCTTCTCTCTTTCTTCCCGTGGATTCTTCGAAGAAGAAGTTTCAAGACCCCGAGTTCAGCTCATATTTGTACTACACCTTAGTCCCTCTTCGAGCTTAACTAAACTCTGAAGATCTCCCATTCTCGCTTCATCATGGGACCCGCCTTCGACTTTACCCTACCAACTTGTTCCCTCTCCAACGGCTTCTTTTATCCATCCCGGCTGTCTGGTCGTTCCCACCCACTAAGAAAAAGAAAAAAGAAAGAGAGATAGAGATAGATAGATAGATAGATAGAGAGAGAGAGAAAGAGACACAGAGAGTGGGAGAGAAAGAGAGAGAGAGAGAGAGAGAGAGAGAGAGAGAGAGAGAAAGTAAGAGTGAGAAAGACAGAGATCAGAGAGAATAGTCACTAGGGAACCATGAAGGGAACGTAGGACTTTCCTACTCATCATATAATCCGAAAATGATATGAAAATGATATGAAAATGTATGGAAGAACGTAACCAAAGTTTAACGAAGAATGTGCGACTTTGACGTTAATTGCAACGTGAATCTTGGTTACGTTAACTGTTTGGAAGTTCACGTAAACTAGGTGTCAAATATATTTTAAGATTCATTTGTTGTTAATATCAAAACATAATTTGTTCAACATTCTAAAATAGATATACGTAAACACGGAACAACGTAAATATAATTTACTAGAATCTTCTACAAATTTCAATTTTATATATTAAATTTAAAGTTGAAAATTATACAAACTACCCCAGTTATAATTTAAATTTAAATATGACATCTGGTGTACTAAGCTCGGTATGTGTTTTATCTCCTTATGAAATTTATAATTTTCAAAACTTTTTTTATGTAAAATTTAGAGACATCCGAGCAGCAGAATGCGACAAGAGGAATAAACAGTAAACCAGGCAAGATAGGAGACTTCGGTAAGCTTCGTTTTGGCAGTGGAAAGGAAGAAGAGCGGGGGTTATGGAACCAATGGTGACGAGGGAAGGCAAAGCCGAGAAACATGGTAGCGCGAGAGAGATGGAAAAGGTAAGGAACGACCCCTAGAATATTTATATCGTGAGGCGCCAGAGAGAAGAAAATGCAGAATTACAAGAACAGACTATGATTCGTGATTTTACACGTTTGCTTCACGTTGAAACTTCGCAAATTTCCGAATTAACTGGTGTATGTCTGAAGCGAAAAGTATACGATAAATATAATTAATTTGATCGTTAAAAATATAAATTGCCTAACGTTTAATTAAAGTAATTTCAATTTTTTTTATTTGAGTCCGATTGTACGATTGTTAAATTCTAATCTAAAAATGTGTTATCACAAAAAATGTGTTATCATTTGTTACAGGGTGTCTGAAAATTCGAAGCACAGCAGTAGTATACAGGTAGAATTCGACAAACTGAACAAAAAAATTCTATATTATTTTGCAAACAATCATGTCGAATTTTGAGTTATTAATTAAAGAAATTTGGCGAATAGTTACGTTCAATGCAGTACGAGGTATGACGATAAATACGATATTCATTATGATATTAAGTCAAAGTGAATGGTACAACGATATGACGGTACCCACAAAACATTCAGACATATCATGTACATACGTTTATGGATATACTATGTATGTACATCTGTGATGCACAAAATATATATATAGAATATCTAATTTGAACACTTAATATCTCTGTTTTCTTTGATGATATGAAAAAAAGTCAAAGGTAAAAATTGTTCGCTTCAAAGGAATTGATATTTTGGTAAAGCAAACATCATTTTTTATGAAATTTAAAGGTTATCAACATTTTTTTTAATAAAATAACGTATTTTTATTAACACATGATGTAACTTACAAAAAACATTTAATCATATGGTATATGTTGACTTTAATATGATTTTGAATTATAGAAATCATTTTTAGAAAAACAAACTAAAAATTTATGTGTTTCAGTACAAAGATGTACATTTTTCTACAGAAAATATTCAAAATGATCACCGTTAACTTCCATACACTTTCGAATACGATAAATAAAAGATTGTTTCACACTTTCGAGAAATATGCGGTACTCATCTTCTTTCTGGATAATTTGACTGATATTTGACTTCAATGATCGAACAAGAACTTATTATACGAACGACTTGTAATGATATCTTTATAACTTATGCTTATACAGAGTGTGCCAAACTCTTTTCCGTAATTTTTATGGGAGATTAATAAAGAAGATTGGTGAATGATCACGCGCGATATGGTAGATGAGTTGTAATGATACTGTTGTGTGTTTGTACATTAGATTAAATTAAACAAAAAAGTCTTTTATTATTTTGCAGATAACCACGTTAAATATTTTAGGGACGTAGAATATACTGAGATGAATATAAAAGTCCCGTTTAAGGCCGTTTTGAGGTATTCGTAATAATTATCGATATATTAATTAAAGAAGATTGATGAATGATTATGCGCGGTACGGTAGATTAATTGCGATGTCTATCATTTTGTGCTTATAACTAGATCATATTGCACAAAAAAGTTCTCTAACGTTTTGCAAATAATTACATAGATTTTTCGTTTTTAATTAAAGATCGGTACATGATTGTGTGCGATAATGAACTAACATACTTTAATTAATAACTACCCAGATAGCCAAGTGTAATTGAATATTTTGAGTAAACTAATGCACAGCAGGTATGGTAAAATGTTTGCTGTATATTTGTTAACATGTAATGAACGCGTTACTGAATGCAACATGATTGCTTATACTTAGATGACGAAACTTCAAGAACAAACCGGTCGACGACAGTAGCAACGTTGTCATGACAAAAACTTTTTAACGGATTACAAATCTGCGTCAACATATTGCCATTAATTTGCTGTTATTTGAATTAGAATTCACGTGAGTTCAATGTGAGACACATAATGCTGTCTCAGCACCGCCCTGCATCGAATGGAATTATTCACCAATATTATTTAATCAATAACCTAAATTTTAAATGGTTATTTATAAAATAATATAGGACTTTTTCGTTCTGTTTGATGAGTTCTACCTGTGCTTCGAATTATCGGACACCTTGCATATTTTTACTTGCTCCTTTAAACATTGTTAAAATTTTTTGCTTTTAAATTCTTTAAAGTTTACTAATTTAAAATTTACTAAAGGTATTATTACGTACATTTGTTTTAAACTCATAGTACTTCGTTTTTCGCATAGTACTTCGCTTTATATTATTATATTTTTTCTTGTACAAAGTTACACGACTTGCAGGTTTAAAGATCCAGATTTAAAATAGCTGTCGCGGGATGTGTCAGGAAAGTGATGTATCGACATTTTTCAGGCTCCTACAATTCGGAAGCGGAGGGAGGATGAAAAATTAGCGATGAGAATTACGACGTAGCCAAAAATAGGGGGACTCTCGCAGCAACATGAAAAGTATATCGGAGTAGGAAACGGGGGAGAACGGAAGGAGAGAAAATATTGAGTGTTCTGACAAACAACGGTGCGTTTTTCAAATATTTCTTTGAGACCGAAACGTTGTGTAAAAATAGAGTGTTACTTGACAAGCCGTTTCCATACTTCAACTACTTTTTGGTAGTTTTTGGCCTATTCAGAGAACAAAGATCGTGCTAAACTTAGTCTCTCAATTTTTTGGAGTGAAATTACATTTGAAAAATCAGTTAATCACAAAGTCATTTAAATTCATGTAATTTTTCATTTATATACAGTGAATTCTCTATTTTAAATTGTCGAATAAATATTTTCACACGACATGAAAACTGATTATGATGTATTCTACCGTCATAGGAAGACATTCACTCTAATCGTTTGAAATATTCGCTCATATAGGGTCAGAATTAAGGATCCTATTTCGATTTTTTGAATACACATTTAAGAGGTTACGTGTAGTCAGGAAGCTGAAAAATAGCCAATTTTTACGATTTTTTTTTTTAACTATATGTGTTTTTATTATAGTAATTGGTGTTCTTAAAAGTATACATATTAATGTAATTTTAATAATTTTTTTGTTTATAAAATATAAAAAATAAGCTGAGTTATGTGCAATTTGTTAGATGTCCTTTTTAAATACAGGGTTTACGGTGACCATGATATCTCGAAGCCAATTTATCTGAAATAAAAAATCAAAAGGATTTATTTCTTATATGAGTTTCTTGTGTACTTGATCGAAGGATTTAACGAAATAGTAAGATTTCACAAAATAGCGGCTGTTCAAAGTAAAAGTATTGAATTTCACAAAAAAAAACGGTTATTTTTTGTTTATAAAATCAAAAGTTTTTTTTTGTAATAACAAATCTTTCGATCAAATATACAGAAATTATGTCTAAAAAAAGTGTTTAAAACTTGAGACCGATCGGTGCAGTAGTTTTTAAGATATTTTGGTCACCGATTTAAAAAATGATGTTTCGAGAAAAATGCGTTTAAACTTTTAAAAGTAAATTACACTAAGTTAAAAAATTTTTCTTTCAACTTACATAAAATCATCAATTCCTACTCCATATAAAAGACGTTCTGCTGAAGAGACTGCCTCCAAAATGTCTATTTGATGTTGTCGACGAAGCATTCTTTGCTCGCGCGTGTTCGTCTGCACTTTGTCGTTAGGCACTTGCTGTGACATGGGTTTTCATCCGTCGAACTGTAGTGTTCATAGATGATTCTCGAGCCTTTATTACGATCTATAATAGAATAAAACTCCAAAAATTATACAAAAATCAACAGGACTGTACAGCTCGGCGTCAGCAACTATACTGCCCGTTTTATTTACATTCGTCTCAAAGATCTTTAGAAACTCAATCATCCTATATATACACATACACTTACATAGGAAATAGGTATAGATGACCTACAATTTCAAAGTGACAACTGCAAGTTCGAACGCAAGATATGTCCAGGCCACATTATCAAACGAGAAACGAAGCGCTTCGACGCGCACATGCTTATGAGCTCATATCTCCGTGAATTTTTCTTGAATCAACCTCAAATTTTAAGGGAATATTTTTAAGATAATGAACTTTTAAAAAATGTAATTTTTGAAAAATCTAAATTTTCAAAATTTCTGACTGCACATAATCTTTTAAACGTTTAGCGTATATCCGTTTAGAAACGCCTGATAAAAATCGTTTTGGATAAAGTGAATCGTTTCCGAATAAGTTTAATCGTTTAAATGGATTCTGTAATACGCAATCTCTAAAATACAATTAGTGTTCACTAAAATGCTATATTTAAAGATGATAATTCAGTTCAGCGCTGCAATTAATAAAATCTTAATAAAATAATGGGTTAATTATAGCGGCTGTTGTATATTTTAATACGGTTTGCAAATACAGATAATATTATTGCATCCAAATTATATGGAAACCAATAATTCCATTACCACAAACGCGGAAAGTTGTATTTAACACAACATATAACGAATTTGTAATTTACAATCTTTGTAATAAAATCTTACTTCTAGTAAAGTCAACATAAGTGAGATATAAAATAAACCAGCAAAATGGGGATATTTCTACTAAAATTTTTAGTTACAGTAGCGAATACATCTTTAGAAAATCATGATTAGCTGTGACAGCAAATTCTTTTTTCCCTGTACTTTCTTTTCCATATTATTTTCAAGAGATATATTATTTGCTTATTTACAACAACAATTACCGAACGCGAATTTCGCTATCCCAAATATCCTTTGCTATTTTTTTCAATTTCTATAATATATATCATGTTAATCTCTTAATTACTGATGATAAAAATTCTCGTTATTCGAATAACGAGAATTAAAAATTACTGATTATAGTACTATACTTATAATTGTAGTACTATACTTATTATTATAAATTATTAGTTATAAGTATAGCGTTTGAAGAATACTGATTGTACTTTAGAGAGTAAGAGCATGATAAAGTTTCAATATTTACATATAATTTTACTTTAGTTTCTGCATCAAGGAAATAAGAGTAACGTGATAAAGATCGTCAGTCTTACAGAATTTCGCTATTTAATTACTTACTATCAATAAATTTTACGCTAAATTATCGTAAACGATATAACTGCAAGAAGAAAGTTTTACAAAAATATCGAATATATTTCATTGTAGGTCATAATTATTTCTCTGAGGATTCTCGTTATCGGTAATGAAAAGTTTAAAAATAGTCAGTCCTAGGAAAAATTCTGCGAGCATATTCAGAGAAGTAATTAAAAAAGAATGATTCTTTATCGAATATTTATAGTCATCGAATATAAATATCTGTATATATTTAAGGCATAATTAATATTAATTTTATAATTTATGACTACAACAAAGTTTTATCAAAATGTATATATACAGGATGATCCAGATTACTATTTTCAAATTAACTAAATTATATATGAAGCTCCTTTATATTATTCAAATAACCAACAAATATTTTAAAACTAATGAGGAGCGAATACGGATGTAGTAGTGTTATCTTAATATTACAAACGTGTAATATTAAAGTTTATTGGGAGGATAAAATTGTCCTCAGCCAGGACTCGAACCTGGAACCTTCCCACTATTTGGGCGGGATGCCTTTCCCAATTCGGCCACTGAAGTATCGATAATATCCTACGCTGGACAATTTTATCCTCCTACAATAAACTTTAATATTACACGTTTGTAATATTAAGATAACACTACTACATCCGTGTTCGCTCCTCATTAATCTTAGAATCTTTGTTGACTATTCTCAAACTTCGCGAGAACATAAAACAAATTAGGATGAACATGAAAGTCTCATTCATAATATATCTCCAGATATTAATTAAACAAGATTAGTGAATAATCACGCGCGATATGGTAGATAAAATGTAGTAATGCTGTTTACCACTGTATAATTATACATTGTATTAGCTTGTACATTAGATTAAACTGAGCAAAAAAGTTTTTTACCATTTTGCAAATGACTACATAAATTTTAAGATATTAACTAAAGAAAATTTGCATTATTGTACACAATCATATAACAATTTTCTTTCATAAATAATTAAAAGTCTATATTATTATTTGCAAAATGATAAGCGTTTTTGTTTAATTTGACCAAATGTGCAAACACAATAGCACACATCATTACATCATCACATCGCCATTACAGTTTATCTACCATATCACGCGTGATCATTCACTAATCTTCTTTAATTAATATCTCGACTATTATTGCGAATATCGCAAAACGGTATAGAATATGTTCATCTCAATCCATTCTACGCTCTCGCGAAGTTTGGAAAATGGTGATTCATCCTAAGAATAGTGAAACACCTTGTATATGACTTATAAGTAAACATATTCAATATTTTATGAAACGGTATTTTCGCAGTTATCGTCTAACTACACTACTCTAATTTGGCACAAAATTTACTAACAGAAGATTATCATAAATAGCCGAATCCTATAAAACTATAAGATTCTATAAAACTAGATAATTTTACTACTTTAAAGTATGATAAAGAGACTCTAATAAAAAATTGAAATCAAGAGAAGAAAAGAGTCTTTTTTTAAAAACGAAGCACAATTAATATAGCATTATGATATAAATGTATTAAAAGTATAATTACATAAATTATATAATAGGAATAACAGGAAAAGTCCAGATGTCTCGGTCCTCAATCGGACTGTCTTCAATGGATAAAGTTAAAACTTAAGATATCATGAGTATAGTTTAAAAATATATAAAAGCAGACATAATGATGTAAAGCAAAAATTGAAGCTTTCGCAACTCAGTCAGGGACGTAGACTACTAATAATATAAAAGAACTAAATAAGCAGTAAACAAAGAGATGACTCATTGTAGGTCGTGCTGTGAAATCATCAAAACAGATCAATAGAAGCCGTCTAATGACAAATCTCAGGTCAGTCATGGACATCGTCCACAAGCATTAGTCACCGATGTGTATAAAAGAATGTGAGGTCCAGAACACAAAAAGAAAAAAAAATTCGGAAATATTCTTCCATTCATTCGAAGGATGAGGTGTAAAATTAGAAAAGGGAGCAACGCGTACAAAGAGCATGTAGTAAGTTCAAAAGAAATAAAGAAGTAAATGAAAACAGGAAACTACTGTAATAGAAATATCATCTTATTTTGAAAGATCTAAAAAAATCTAAGTAAATATTGTTGACCATGCATCCAAACTGGTAGAAGAACTTGTATTCAACACAATAAATCTATGTTTAGGCATAATAGGCCAAGCACGAGATGACACAAAAGAACGGTTTCCAATAATATCCTGTTAGTAAACTTTGTCCCAAATTAGTGTAAACAATAATTGCGAAAATTCCGTTTCATAAAATATGGAATGTGTTTACTTATAAGTCATATACAAGGTGTCTCACCATTCTCAGGATGAATCACCATTCTCAAAGTTCGCAAGAGCGTAGAATGGATTAAGATGAACATAAAAATCCAATAGATGAGCTGTAGTGGCGATTTGTGCTATTGTGTATTTGCACATAGAGTCAAATTGAACAAAAAACCTCTTGGTAATTATTTACTTTAGGGGACCTACCTTCGATGACCTTGATCTTGATATATATTATCAAGGACACTCTCCTAAATAACCTTTAGAAAATTTTAGCCGTCGCTCATTGTTTATTAAAAAGTTATTAACAAAAGAAGTTTCGGTAATTATAGACTATAGAAGAGTCAGCTCCAATGACCTTGACCTTGACATATATTGTAGAGGTCACCCTCCTGAGTAACTCTCAGAAGGTTTTAGCCGTCGCTCGTTGTTCGTTAAAAAGTTATTAACAAAAGAAGTTGCACAAAATGAGTATAATTTTTGGACACTGTATATACAAAAACGGTACTGTGGGTGTTTACGGTAAATCGAGTATGAGTTAGTTCCACCAGAACCGAAAAATATGATAGGCACGACCACCTAATACCTTCATGATTTATGACAACTCAATGCTGTCCGGTAAGGCGAGTAAAGTTAGCTAACGTAGTATATAGCGTTCGAACGAGTCAACATTATCAGGTAATAAAATTGTGTAAAATGTAAAACAATTATATTAAAAATCAATTAATTATTAAATTTTAGGAAAATTATAAATATTAAATTGAAGTTATAAAAAGTTATGAGAAAATATCATGTATTTGTGGAATATCCGAAATAAGAAATTCAATTATTCTAATCTACAACACATTTATTAAAGTTCCACAGATTTGGCTTGGTCTATAGTGCTACA